GTTTTCTTATCGTCGTTGCTTTCAGTAATTTTGCATTAATTAGAGTGCAGCGCTGACTGGTATCAGTATCACATTGCCGTGCCAAAACCATGCAGCATTGTATCGGCACTTCCCTTATGAGAAATGAAGGAAAGATGCAGTCAGAAGGACATTCGAAAATTACATTCGAATTAAAAGTATACTGTGATGTTTACGTAGACCGAAGTTGACAAAACACAATGGTGATTGAAACCAAAACTTTGGCATTGAAGCGTATCCGTGTGAAGCGAGCTTTTTGGATGATACTGGTGTGCACTCGTGCTGGTAAAATATTTTTATAGGACAAAATAAATACATTCGATCGAATGTTTTTCGTTTTCTCGGCTTTTCTAGATTAGTATTATCAATAGTCGAGGTTTTGTTCGATCTACCAAAAACACTACTTTTTCAGCACTAGTTGGGCACGAGTGCGCACCGAAAAATTATTTCGCATCGGTGCGTACCCGTGCGCGACCAGTATCCATAAAATGTTTTTTAGCAGGACTATTAAACATATTGACTGTGCAATGGTCGCCAAGTAAAAATACACAAAAGTGAAGAATGCACAGGAATGATGTTATTAGTGATAACTTATTACGAATGTGAGTAATTTCGGTATAAGCTCGCTTTGTCTCTGGTGACTTCACGAATGTAGCGAGTGTCAACTCGATCTTGTTTGATGCACAGAGGGTTGAGACGCCAGCAATTCGGCCTCATTCACAGCATACTAGATAGTTTCTAGCGACGAATTGGCATTAGCGAACTGACATATAAAGCAAAAATATCCTCAGAACTCGTGGAGAAAACGGACCCTGTAAGGATTTCTATAGGAATAACAAAAAAGTAGTATTACTTTTATAATTAACAATGTCATTTTGTTGCTCACATTATTCTTCAAACTTTTAATTACTGTCTTCATTGTTCTGATTTAGCACTTCAACTTTCTCTACCAAATCTCCTAAACATCGGAAATATTTCTGTCTTAGTCATTTTTACAAAATCGGTCATCATCCAAATCGTCTCTATATTTTTATAAAATACAACCACCTAATTTCTCTGTTTCTTGTCACCATCCCACAAATATGTTCATAGTCCACCTCTTACACAAAATTTCTCTTCTGACTATAAAATCTTCTTTTTTGGTCTAGAGTGACTGATTGGAATAATCTTCGACAATTAGTTCAGTTTTGTCATTTAAACATCAATATTTAATCAGTTGATTGTCATCTATTTATCTTTCTTTTTTCTTCTTGTGATTTCTATTGTTTACTTTTATTTCTATAGTATTTGTAGTTGTTGTTCACTTTTTCTCCTTGGTTTCTTTTATTTTTTATTTTTTGTTGCACTTTTATGTATAACCAGATCTTAGCAGGGGTGTGTCATCGTTTTATCGATTAAACTTTTAATGACTTCTCATCCACCGGTGATTAAATAAATTATTGTTATTATTATCTTCCCTACCATTTCTCAAGGCATCAACTGTATCACAACTGTTACGTCGAAGTTGAGAAATTTGCTATTGTCGAATAGTAGAACAGTATGGAGGACGAATGCTTATTTTTAATTGGTTTCCGCCGCTCTTTGCTCTTTACGTTTACACTACAAATTTTTCAGAGTTAACTCGAAGTTACCTTCGACAGCCTTCATATCTAAATCTTTAATACGCAAAATAAGATTTTGACATTTTCCCCAAAATTGTGCTGCTTCCTGGCTTCAGTACTCTCAAAGTTTGCGGCTTGCTAACAGTCGATCGATTTGAATTTACGTTCTACAGTTGCCTTTTTAATAAGCTCAAACAGAAAAATTGAGTAGAGAGTCAGATTTTTTTTCTTCCCCATAGAACTGGTGCTACCGCCCTTGTCTAACTGAATTATATTATTGATTACTGAGCTCATTTATGACTGTAGTTAAATGATGTGCGAAAGATCATTTAACTCAGAGTTAACTTTCTGATCAGTCAACTTCGTTTTAGTTCATCTAACTTTTGTAGTGTGAACGTTGCCTTAGGCAGTTAGATAAAATATTTATTCTTATTAGTATTTATTAACAATGATAAGTTTGTTTGTTCTCACTATTGACACGTCTAATGTAAGAAGAAATTTCGAACAGGATGAGTTCATGTTTTCTAACAGTGAGCTGAACCAAAAAGTTGGTTTAAAAATTATATTAATTGAAAAAGATGGAAACTGAAGCGATACAGATTACTCTTCTTTTTTACGGTTTCTGTATTCTTTCAAAATAAAATATATTCTTTTTCTCCTTTTTTCTACGAGAAAGACCGTCAGAAAACACGATCAGTGGTATAGATCTAACTGAACAATTCAGATCAGGATGAAGTGATGCTATTAAGAGAGACTCTTTGACTAACATCCGCTACTTAACTTTGTCTCTGTGCATTACACGTCAATTCTTCTAATCAATAGTGTGAGACGTGTTAACATGTTTTTGTGGAACGAACTTTTCATCGTTAGTACTTGTGTCGGAAAATCTCACTTAGGACTTTTCGATCAGGGAGATTCATTAGTTTAACTTGCTCAGTGACCGTAGTGTCGGTATTTTATCCTTAATATTTAATAAATTTTGAACTGGTATGGGCGATTTTTCAATAATTGTTAAGTCCGAATCCGGTCGAATTTGACTACTAAATTTTCGAAAATCAGTTTTAAATGCTCTTGGACTATTCTCAACGAAAGACACTTCAATAAACAATCTTTTTATCATTATCAATACGCGTATCAGACTTATTACACCAATTCCTCATCTAATAGTGAATAAGTTGGCAAATATTAATAGCTCTATGAATCATACCGGTAATGGGATAAAATTACAAACAAAAAAACTGTGATTGAACAAATTCGATTAAGAACAAAAAAATAAGATTATTTGTTGTAATTTATGTTGCAGTATCGATTGTTGGACCAATCGTATTTACCGTATGTTACAAATTCGATGTGAATATGTTTTTTAAATAAAATGCACGGCTTTATAGCCAAGAGAATTCTCTATCTTTCAGACCTAGAACAAAGTTTTGGAAGTTGATTTAACTAGCGAAAAAATAAGTTGCAAAAGTGTGTCATTATTTCCGAGCCACCCGTTATATTCTCTTCTGGGGCAATAGGAGAGAATCAAAGTGTTATCGTCACTTGAGAAAGAATCTTTTCGGAACACAATTTAACGGATGGGATCTAGATCAAATCATTAAATTTTTACTTTGCTTATATCTCAACTACTTTTAATTCTTCAACGATAATTTTCTCTAAAAAGACTCGTTGTTAATTTCTTTACAAAATAAAACTGTATATCGTTGTTTGTCGACAAGTACTTCTCAATTTGGCCACGTAACTCTGCTACCGCAGTATGATTCCGCCACGTTTTTTTTTGTATTTTATTTCTCTTACAGTTTTCGAAACAAAATACTTCTATAGTTTTAAAATATCTTAAATTAAAGAGAAGAGTGTGTTCAATATGTTGAGATGTTTCCGCACTCTACATGCTCATTTTTTTAGGAAATAAGTATTTTACTTCTAAAATTGTAAGAGAAACAAAATATAGAAAAACTGTGGCGGAGTCACACTGCAGTAGCAAAGTTACGTGGGCAAGCCATTCTAGCATTGTTTAAATAATAAAAAGTAAAGACATTCAAAAAATTGTGTATTTAAATGTATTCAAGTGATACTCTATATGAGATTTTCAACGACTCAAATCGACAAATCGTTTCTGTAGTAATATAATTGATTTATCTATCCCTCATACTGTTCGAATAAAAGTAACTATGTAACGTAAAATGTCATTCAAGTTGAAAACAAACGATCTGTAAAAAAAGATGTTAGATATAAAAGTAAATAATAAATAAAACTAGTTCGTTGTAATTAATTAAAGTTTCGTCAATCATAACAGATGTATTGAAGATATTTATGTCCGATTACTAATGAGTATAGAAATTATTTAGTGTTTTCATAGTTTTCATAGAATAATACACTCATTGTTTAATCCAAACATAATATAATAATAATTTACCGTCATCATACCAAGCGAAGAGTGACTAACAAATAATCCGGATTGAAATTCATTAGATTTGATTATTGCATTTAAAATCAACCAACTTAAACTATATATTAAAAATAAAATCAGCGTTAATTGAAAAATTGAAACCTTGTGAAAAAAAATAGCTAGTCAAAATAAATTTGAGATATAAGCAATGTAGAAAACTATTGATTTAGTCTGAATGATCCATTATAGTTTATATTTTGTTTATTCTGTGTCGATTTTGTCTCACGACCTAAACATTCAGGACGCCGCTTACCAGATAGGCTTTTTCTGAATATACTAATAAGCGCCAAAAGAAAAGAAGGCTACTTCGAAAGTTAAATATTACCATATATCAAGACAATTGATTAACTATATTAAATCAACTGAAAATCTCTGATATCTGAACAAAGAATAAATGCAAAATCTGTTTGATTGTAAAGCAGAAAAAATAATTGTTTATGATATCATAAACATTTTTTCGAGATGCTATTTACTTTAAATAACTCGTCTTATTTCTGCTTCTTTTAATTGTCAATGTATATAGTTCACTGGTACTAATGACTTTTGATTTTAAAATACATTTATGTTGTTTATTTTCGAGTAGCTCAACTTTTGTAGATCTCGAATATTCTTTCGGCGTTTGTGACGAATAAAAATAATGTATTTATACAGAAATTATGTTTTTATACTGCTCATACTTTGCATGAATTTACTTAAATAATTACAATAATCATAATGTGATTGAGTTTTTAATGAAGAGTTATTGTAGACAAACTCATATTATAAAATGAGGTGATCCAATTACAATTTTTTATTTTTTTGTTTAGATACTGTAAATTGAGAACCTGAGACAACTGGTTGAAAAAAACAGACAAACTAACTCATTATAGATGCATGAAAACGTAGACTTTTCAAGATGAGAAAAATAAGAACTTATTGTTTTAGATTAGACTATGCTTTTGCTGTTATTCTCTCTTGTTATTGGTATTATTATTGTTGTTGGTTTATTTTATTTACTTCGTCAACTTTATAATCCCCCATCAATTGATTTTCACGATCGTCATGTTATTGTCACAGAGGGTAGTAATGGTATTGGAAAATCATTAGTAAAATCATTATTGATACGTGGTGCAAATGTCACGATTCTAGCTCGTAATGAACAACACTTATGTCAGTGTGAATCCGAATTAAAATCAATATCAGATAATCGCTTATTATCTTTATCTGTTGATGTAAGTTTATCATACGAAAATGTAGAACAATCAATATGTCGTGCATGCGAGAAACAAGGACCGGTCACAGTCTTGATCAATAATGCCGGTATTTATGATGCAAAATCGTTTGATGTAACAAAACCGGTAGAGTTTGAAAAAATGATTCGTATTAATTATTTAAGTGCGATATATTGCACAAAAGCCTGTAGGAAATATATGTATAAAATGGGTTATGGACAAATTGTACTCGTTTCATCACAAGCTAGACAGTTAGACGGTTATACATCATATTGTTCAACAAAATTTGCATTAAGAGGTTTAGCTGAAGCATTACAAATGGAATTAGCACGATCGAACATTTATGTCACGACTATTTATCCCCCCCATTTAGATACACCTGAATTTACAGAAGAAAATAAATCAAAACCAGTTGAAACACAATTGATTTCGCAAACATCGAGTATTGTATCGACTGATTTAGTGGCTGAAAATATTATCAAACAAACATTGAAAGGTAAGAAAATTTAACTTTACAAATAGTGAAGACGTGTCTATTATTAATATTTTATTTTAAAAAACAGGTTCATTTGCCTGTTGGTTTAGCATTAACGGATTTTTATTGACATATCTAACAAGTGGCACTTCCTCAATGACAACATTATTAGAATCGATTTATCAAGTAACATTTGTTGGTTTAGCTCGATTAATAGCAATAACATTATTCCGGGCATTCTACAGTATTGTTAGAAATAATCGTCGACAATCATCATCTACACATTAGGTAATTTTCCATTTTCTCTAGTTCATTTCTTTTCAGTTTGAATAATCTTACTTTCTTCAAGTATTTTATTCACTTGTTAGGTGTAGTTTCAACATCTATTTCTTTTCCTACTGGTATTCGTTGAGCTACATTTTGGTTAATTTTGACTTTTTTTACACTTCCGTTCATTTTTTTTTGCCTTCATTGTTTTCTTTATACATCCTACTTTTTATATGCTTTTGCATGTGATATTCATTTCTCACTTGTTTTTTTAACTTGATTATAAAGATAAAATAACATAAGTGTGAGGATAAAATGATATAACTTGCTCGAGGCTTGAACTTTCACCATTTCTATCTTTGCTCTCTGCGTTTAGCCACCGATGACTAGTCGTTATAATATACTTCTGTGTCACGATATTTTCTGTTCGTATAGTGTTTCTGAAATGACGGGTGAATTTTGCTGTGAAGATAGATCATCAAGAAGTAAGATGTTAGTAGACACAGTATTTCTTACGTTATTTTTCTCGTGAATACTATAGACCATTTATGATTGAGCGCTAAGATCTACTGTTGAGTACATCGAAATTCAAGCAATCCAACTTTACTCAAATTATGATAGATGAGAACCTTAGAGAAATCGTGACTATTTCTCTATTTATCACAAGTGAATATGAATGAATGGTTTTTAGTAGAAGGTAAGTATTTTGTAAATCATCGAGGATGGTATCTTAATCTTTAATATAATTATAATAAACACTTTTCACTAATTACATACAGCTATTAGGATATCCTTTTAGGCTATCCTAACGCATTTTTTCGATGATGTAATTAGGTAATGAACGTATTTACACCATGTTCTTTATAAAGATTACTATATGTCATCTTCTCTCGACTAACTGTGGCTCTTCTTCTTTTTTTTTGTTCTTCTCTTTGAAAATGAATGTTAACAGCGAACAATATGTGGAGAATTCAATACTCAAAGAAAGATTGTTATAGCAGTAGGTTTTTACAGAAGGTAATTACTTTGTTGATAATACTTTTTCTAAGCAAAGAATGATGATAACAAAAACTCCCTTCGTTCATACATTCTTTTTCAATTATGAACACAAAGAAAAATAGAGAAAGGTTAGATTATATTTTAGTTTTATCTGTTAAACATCACACACTTTTCTCTACAGAAGTTCGTTAATAATAATAAGTCATTCGTAACTCGTATTCTTTAAAAATTTAGGTTAGAAATACTCTAATTTTGCAAGATTTATGTATAGATGATACAATAATATTAGAATACTTTCTTTCTTGTATGAAATTTCCTCTAGTATTAAACTTGAACACAAGTTCCTCTGCTTTGAAAATAAGCTTTGGGTTATTTGATTAGTTTATGAATTATTGCACTACTGACTATTCCGTTTGACACCGTTTACGAAAGGCTAGTTATCGAATTTGACATAGTTTATATTATATTGCCGAGAAATATATCACGTGTACACATGAAGATATTATCCTGTGAGTTTAGTTTATCCAGATGAATAAAATACCGTGACTATGTAACTGCTCTAATAAAATAATACCTTCATCTTTTCCTTAGAGCATCTAGAACGTATATAATGAATGAGAGTGAATCAAAACGATACAAATGTAAGTAAATTAATCCATTCTAATGAATATTAACGGCTTTTCTTTTCCATTTATTCTAAATATTTTTTCTTTGGTACTCTCATTGTAAATTTATAAGAGCTCGTCTGGTCGTAATCTTTTTTGTAGAAAACTTATTTCTGTCAGAATACCTGCGGCATTTTGAAATGTAGAATAAAAACGGATTTTCTGATTAAACTAGAGTGCGTGTTGAGTATTTCTGTACGTTTATTGTCTGTATTTTAAAAATATTATCAATCTGTTCAACAAAACCACTGGTAACGGACCTGGAATCAATTCTTTTATAGACTTTCTAGGCAAGTTATTATTTTGCTCTTTAATTCAGAATAATTCATGAGGCATAAAATGAAGCGAGAGAAGAAATGAAAAAAGAAAAGAATAAAATGCATGGTAGATGCTATAAAAGAAAAAGTTTTTCTCAATGACATTGTATTCAAATCAGAAATACTGAGAATATAATTACATAAGAAACAAGAACGACGACTTTTCTATGTAAAAAATGTAAACAGTCGTTATCAGTGAATTTTCTAGATTTAATAGGAGCTAATTTACATTTGTTATTCTTATAGGCAATATCATCAGTATCTGAAAAACTTTATTGGTAGATGATCTAATATATTTCCTCAAATAAATGTTCATATGTTGTTCTGTACTAAGTAGATTGTAATAAAAACGAAGATGTGATATAGCGACAGCTTGCGCTTTTTATTCTAGATCAAGGTTATACTCTTCAGTAATGACATATTACTGCGTGTAACTTCAAAAAACGATACTTGATGAATTCTTTTTTATATATATAGAATCAGGCATAGTCTCACATCATAAGCAAGTATGCATCAGAGAATAATAATGTTATTTTTACTCATTATAGGATGACTACTATTAGACTTTAGTTTCTATGATTGTGTGTCCGAACTCGACATTTAGCAAAATACATTTATTCAATGCATGGTGAGATTTTGATATTTTTTTAGTTAATTATGAAAATTACTTAACTAATTCTTATTATTGTAGTGTATAATCGAACATACACAGTTTTTAACGGAATCTGTGTGTGATTAAGGAAGATTAATACCATGATGAGTAATGCGGTGCTTTTAGAAAAAGTTTACGTGTATGTAATCAGAGTAGTGCGCATTTGTCCGGAGTTCAATGATTGATTATTTCAGCCATGATGTTTATAACAAAATAGCATTAAATTGTCACAATAAACATAATCGAGCATGGCCAAATGTCAAAAAGTTTCTTCAAAAATTCGATTCTTATTCGATGATAGCTGATATTGGGTGTGGAACTGGAAAATACTTGTCCATTAGCGATCATTTTTATGTTGGTTGTGATCATAGTAATACGTTATGTTCATTATCAAAACAGCATCAACCATCCGTGCAAGTGCTGACTGCTGATAATCTAAATATTCCACTTCGGTATGTACCTGTAGTTTGTTATTCTGATATTTATGCATTTTATGTATTTTAGTAATGACATATTTGATGCTGTCATATCAATTGGTGTGATACATCACTTCACGACAAATGAAAGAAGACTCAAAGCTGTTAAAGAGATGGTGAGATTGTTAAAACCAAATGGTGGTCAACTAATGATCTATGCTTGGGCTGTGGAACAAAAGCGACGAAAGGCAGGTAGATCTGTACGAAAACTTCGCGCAATTACAGATGTCTGTCTTATTAATTTTTCTAGTTTAATAGTCAAGATATACTTGTTCCAAGTATCGATGATGGTCCAAGAAGAAAAGGTTTGTAATAAAATGTTCAAAACTATTTCACCCCATGAGAACAACTTTAGATTATTCGTTCTGTCTTGCTCTCATCTTTCAATAGATATGTTTTGAAATGATAAGCGAAGTGACATTCCCATACTCGATTCAATAAAGAAAGCGTATTAAGTTGAAATGTGTATAAGCTGTCTTCTTAAACGCAACTTTTATTATTGTTGTTTACGTTCTTTTTAAGGATTCGGTTCAAATGGGTCAAGTGAAAGTGATAATAACGAAGAAAATGATAATAATGGGGAACATTTATCATATTTATCGCGTGTAGATGAACTTGTTCGTAGAAATGACCAAGATTTTTGTGATAGGAAAGATGTTTTATTGCAAAATAGAAGAAAATTACGAAGTCATACGTTAAATGGAAGACGAACACCGCCTGATGCAAAATTCCGATATGCTACTTCCCCTTCTTATCATACAAAGCGTGTTTATCTTAATACTGACGAAAATAATAACAAAGTGGTAGAAAGAAACAAATTATCTGTCATACATGTACTACAAAATTTTGTTTACAAGATGGTATCAAAATCTCCTGTAGTGAAGTATAATAATCCTATTCCAATTACTAGTGATTTACTTATAGAGCAAAATCAGGAGCATCCTCAATTTCAAGTACGTCATTTTCCTCTGAGCAGTTGTTCTAATTCGTCATCAATCGAACATCCATCCACAGTGATAAATGACAAAAATCCACGAAATAAACGTTTTTATCATGTATTTGTACGAGGTGAGCTAGAAAAATTAATTTATAGTGTAAACAATGAATTGGACACAACTACAAAATTAATTCTTGTCAAGTCATTTTATGATCATGGAAACTGGTGTGTCGTAGTGCAAAAACAACAACTGTGATTATTTTCTGTCTTTTATTAGACGATCAGTTATATTATAGTTCGTTTCAGTTGTTTTTAGGAAATCAGCATTTCTTTTTTCTTTTTATAAATTGTTGACTTTCATTTTGTGTGTTACATAGAGGCAAACGTCCTATTTGACAAACACTTTCATTGTGAAAGAGATAGATCACTTATTTTCTGTCAAAAAATGAATTTTTTTACGTAAAAATAAGTGATGTGAATAAACATTTTTAAAGGAGATTCAACTTTGCACGAACAATAATCGCGGTAGCCTTTCAAGTTATTGACTAAATTTATACAAAAGTAGATGTATTAACTTGTTATACTTGTGAAAAATTTTTGTTTATATAATATAATTATGTAGTCGATTGTTTTTACATCGATGATTTTGGATTTAGCTTGATTCTGGAAAAATGTTGTTAGAAATTGAACAAAGATTATTGACTAATTATATTAAAATTCAGCTGGAATAAATTCACTTTTTTCTGTAGAAATCTGAAATCTGAAGACAATTTTATATAACCAACAGTCAGTCACTTTTCGTTTCAAAATGAAAAAGAACATAAGAAATTGTACAACAACATCTACATACAGTCACAGACAGTGAACAAACATACAAGAAAATTACAAATTTGATCGAAATCTATCCTTAATTGTTTAAATATTTGTTTACCGCATTTCCAGCCTAAAATCGTTAATGTTTAAATATATTCAGCTGCAAATACGTATACATTTTGAATTGTTACATTCCTTATAAGTGTATTGAAATGGCATGTATACTAATTATATTAGAAGTTATCTCAAACCGATGATTACTAAAAGCATTAGGTAATTCTGTATCCACATGGTGCACAATGTAATATAGAACTAACACTAAATTTTGGTCATGTTTTCTCATCGCCTAAAAAGAAATTAATAGTAATTTTTAATAGTAGCTTTTTTGTATTGTGTTTCTCTTTCAATTATCACTCGATTTAATGGAAGATGTCATACATCAACAACACATAAACAAACACATCACGGTGTGAAACATTGCCGGTTACCAGTAAACAAATGCTTGATTTATATGAAAGATATAAAAACAGTAATGAAAAAGTTCTGTCTTATTCAGAAAAATGACATTAAAATTTCTTTCTACGTTTGGTGAACGGTATTAGTAGTGTAGAAACAAATAAAAACTACAGTAAAACAGTTGATATACGTATGAGTGAATCGTAGCGCCGTTGTACTGTACATGTTCTGCATATAAAACACGTTCTACTAATCAGCTTTTCAATATTTTTAAAAATTTCATTACTTTTCACTTCTGAAAAAATCAAATCTCTCGCTGTTATCGTTGCCGCGATAAGGCCGAAATACTATGTTAAAAAGTCGTTTCTTGTAATAACTGTTGATATAGAGCCGATGTTTTTCACGTACAATTTCAATATACTTTTTATTATTTTTATGTTTATAGCTGATATCGCTAGCTGTTCGTATACGTGTTTGGGATTGTGGTCCAAATTAATTTTCTTGACAAAATATAATATTAAAAACACTGTTTTAACAGATACTTTACATTTTTTCTGCCCACTGATCAGTGATATTAAACTTGAGTTTTCTCGGTGACTTTTAGGCCCAGGGAATTACAATTAGCGACGAAAGATAGACAATAGGAAGGACATTAATTTGGCGATGGTTTTTCTTAAACTCACGAGGGAAGGCCACCAAGTGTTCCCTCGCTTTTGAGCTGAGACTCAGTTGACCGGGGATAATCGAGCATGCTGATTACGAATTTCATAATGGTTTGGGCTAATTTTGACTTTAAAGTCCCGATTTTCGAAGATCTTGGTTTTCAAGCCGAAAAACCATTTGCGCTAAAAAAAACTTTTGATCTGTCCAATTGATAGAGTACGTCGCGAAACCTACAGAAAACCACTTTTCAACGTTTTATGAGAGGTTCTGAGCGAGTTTTCTACGTCAAAAACTTAAAAAAAGAGAAGAAAAACTGGCTTTTTTACGCAGTATGGTGCAAAAATTGCTCTTTTTTTGCCTTGTTTTTCAACTTATCGAAGGCCTTTAATCAATATCACTGCGTATATGTGTTAGACATGACATACTCCAACTTCAGTTCAACAGGCCTTCGATAAGTTGAAAAACAAGGCAAAAAAAGAGCAATTTTTGCACCATACTGCGTA